AGAAAAAAAAAAGGACACTATGAACTCATCTACAAAATAGAAACAGACTCTAAGACACAGTAAACAAGTTTATGGTTCCTGAGGAAAAGGGGGTGGGAAGGGATAAATTTGGGAGTTTGAAATTTGCAAATATTAGCTACTACATATAAAAATAGATTTAAAAAATAAGTTTCTTCTGTATAGCACAGGGAACTATATTATCCTGTAATAACCTTTAATGAAAAAGAAAATGAAAATGAATATATGTATGTATATGCATGACTGGGACTTTGTGCTGTACACTAAAAATTGACACATGTAACTGACTGTACTTCAATTTAAAAAAATCTTGTGGTAACTTATGGTGAAAAGGAGTGTCAGAACAAATATATATATGCCCATGTATGACTGGAGCATTGTGCTGAGTGCCAGAAATTGACACAACACTGTAAACTGACTATACTTCAATTAAAAAAATATATAGATAGATAGATAGATAGATATACACATACATACACACACACAAACAGAACTAAAGCAAGGCAGGAGAGGATCCTGAAAAAAGTTAACTGAGACAAAAATACTTCCTCTGATGGGCTGTTATGGATTGAACAGTGTCCTCCAAAAAGTATACTGAAGTCTTAATACCTAATACCTGTGTGACTTTATTCATAAATAGCATCTTACTGATGTAATCAGTTCAAGTGAGGCTTTCAGGTTGGGCTCCAATCCAATATAACTGATGTCCTTATTTATAAGAGAAGGGAAATTTGGAGAATGGCCATGTGACAACAGAGGCAGAGACCAAACTGATGTTGCTGCAAACCAAGGAGTGTCAAAGACTGATGGCCACCACAAGCCAGGAAGAGACAAGGAAGGACTCTACTCAGAGACTTAGAACATAGGCCTGCTGACACCTTAATTTTGGACTTGTCTGGAACTGTGAGAGAATTCAATTTCTATTGTTTTAAGCCAGTTTATGGTACTTCGTTAGAGCAGCCCCAGGAAACACAGGTCAAGAGAACTAAAAATGTTTACCATATTGCAGAAATCTAAATAAACAAATAGGTATTTATTCTGATAGAGCTGGAGGAAAGAAAACTGGTTAAAACAGAATGAAAAATGAGATTCTAGAAAACAAAGGAAAAAAGAACCATAAGCCATTTTTAACTCTACAAAGAGAGAAAAAGGTAAAAACAAAGAAAGAACTCAACAATCAAGGGAGCTTTAAAAGACAATCCACCTGAAATAATCAATTTAGTGTGGGAAGCACTTAAACTTTAAAAGAAAAAGAGAAAAAAATAATACCTCACTTCCCCTTCCTTGGTTCTGTAGGTGCTTTTGTAAAACCCATGGAAACTCTCAGAAAGACTGCTGGCATAGGCAATGACAACGGTGTACGGGACCCCAACACCCAGCGGCTCGGGAGCTAGGAGCGCGATTTGCTCTTGAAGTGGATGTTCCAGGACTCTCAGTGGCAATTCAGACCACCCCTCTGCAGCTGCCCTCCTCAGCGTGGCCTGCGATATGCGCAGGCGGTGACTGTGCAGGATGATGGCACTGGTGGGCTTGCGGGCTGTGATTTCTATTTCCGTGGTTCCCTCGAAAGTCAGAGTGGTGAGATTTGCGTGGATCATGAGATCGTAATGAACTGGGACGATGTGCTCAGGAAGTCGCATTTTATTCCAAGGAAATGGAGCCCCATCACTAGCTTTGGGAGCTGAAGTTTCACTGCTCTGACACCAGGATGGAGTTGACACAGTTAAGAGAATCAACAGTGATGAAAGTAGAAATGACATGGTTGCCAGTGGCCACTTGATGGACTGAGCTATCATCTTGCTCAAACTACCTAGAGACAAATGAATAAAAGAAAAAAAAAATGAGTCACTTAAAAATGATCAAGACAGCATACTTTCAGAACATACCATCCAGAATTAACAGATACAGATATCAACTTAACAAAAGCACTAGGTAAAATTACCTTCCCTATGTTACTGATTCATAGAAGAGAGAAGCTTATGGTCGGCAACAACCATTAACACCTAGTAAAAAGCATCATTCGGCTTTCAAAATTTGTATTAATTCTATCAGTCAGGGTTCTCTATTGAAAGCAAGAACAAGCTCTGGCAGAGAATCCTGAGTGGCTCACTAAATGGGTCACACAGTTGTCAGGTCATTTGAGAAACCAGGCTCAATGACAGGCAAAGATTGGTAGCCAAAACCACATCAGAGAAATAGCTGCTCAGGTGATGAATCCCTGCCCTCACTGGACCTCAGAGGAAGCCACTCGACTGCCTGGACATCAGATGCTGGCACTCCAGCCACGACCACTAGAGTGAGGTCTCCACTGGCCCTGCAACTTTATTATTTCAGCAGAAGTGAGGCGTCCACATCACCAGGACAGAGGTGGAGAAAGCAAGAATCTGGACTTCGCAGCTTCTGCAGTGAGAGACAGACCTTGCTTCCCACTAAGTTTACAAAGCCGAGAGTTCCTAAAACACAGGAAGCACAGGAAGAAAGCAGAGATGTTGAGCAGCAATGCAGGGGAGGGGGAGGTATTCGGAACAGTAACCCTTAACAACATTGGCATCTTTGTCAAAAGCTGATTTAATATTTATTCAGACAGGAATGACTTAAAGAGTTTATGGTGACTTTCATGATAGTTTGTGACAATCACCTCTATCACCTGGAGTCTCTCTTACAGTGTATCCAACAAATACGTGTTGCATGCCTGCTACATACAAGCCTGTAGTTTCACTGCTCTGACACCAGGATGGAGTTGACACAGTCCTCAGTACTATGTGGGATGTAAGAATACACAAGACACACATCCCAAAATCAAGAACCTTAAAATCCAGAGGGCAGAAAACATTTATACAAAGAATAAAACACAACAGAGGAAGTGTAAGCTGCTTTAAGAATAATAATAAAAGAGAGTGCTGGGAGAGCATGGAATGGTATTGTCAAAGGGAGATGGTCACTCTGACTGCAGAGTGATGCTGAGATGTCCTCATGCAAGACCAGCATTTGAGCATTGTTGGAAAGATAGGTCAGATTTGGAAATGAACAGAGGGCATCAAAAGCACTGCAGGTGGAACAAGCCAGAGCAGGAGCTACAGCAGAAAAGGAGAACATATAGGGCTGTTCAAGCAATTGATGTGGACAGACAGGAACCCCAGGAGAATCTTCATGGAGAATGATTATTCACAAGGCAAGAAGGGGAGTGATTCCAAGATCGTACTCAAAGCATGATGGGAGTCATACTACAGACCATATTTTGCACTTTATTTTAAAGGCTATGGGACACAAAAGGAATGTTAATTTTAAGGGATTTGGCCATCTATGCCCAGAGAACCAAGCATACTTCCTTCTCTCTCTGAGACAAAGTTGCCTCTCTTATATCGATTTGCCAGGAGTGGCCCATTAGGTGAACTCAGGTAACTAAAATGATGGTGGTACATTAGATTCTCCTTTCATGTCAGTGTTTCTCAACTTTGGCTGCATATTAATGTCATCTAGGAACATTTTTAAATGACTAATGCCTGGATCCCTAGGTAAAACAATTAAATTGGAATCTATGGTGATGAAGTCAAAGCATCAGAATCTTTTTCACTTTCCAGAAATTCTATTGAAGAGCCGGATTGAGGAATGTTCTGAGATAATGTTGCAAAACCATGGTCGTATCCCTTGATCCCTATGTGGGGACACTACTTCACAGTAATAACTGATGTGCTCTTCCCACCCCTCATTCTCCATCTTGCTCCCTTCCCAAACACACAGCTACAGGTACTTATGGCAGTAGGTTAGTGGGGTGGCCTGCACCCCAAGACGGTAGAGAGCACAGTGAAGGTGGCAGGTTCAAGTATGTGAGGACACTGGGAGTCCCCAAGTGTTCTCCAACAGCCCAAGAGGAGACCTAAAAATTCCAACTGGTTCGGAGTTGGCAGCAAGGCCCACGGGCTGCTGAAGGGGTTGGTGGTGGTACCTCACTGGGAGGCTTTGCAGTGTTGAGTCCAAGGGAGGAGAAGACCTAAGAGAACACAGTTATGTCTCAGGGAGAATGCAGTGCCAGAAAACCAAAATGGAATATGTGATACAGACAGCATAAATGTTGGAATATGTATGTGTGTATATATATATATATATATATATATATATATATATATATATATACATACATGTAATTATATAATTTTAATATTAAATATAATATATACCTGTATAATTATAGCTGTAGTAATAATATATGTCAGGTTCACAATCAGAAGAGAAAACCTGGCTTTGAGTTCTTGCTCTGCCCCCTACCATGACCTTGGGCAGGTTATTTAATCCCAGTTTCATGTTCTTCATATGTAAAATGAGATAACGCCTCTATCACAGGATTGTTGTGAAGATTAAACACACTAAAATATTTCCACTCACCCACTCCACGGATATTTATTGAGGGCCTATGATGTGTGGAGCGTTTTGCTAAGCAATGCAAGACAGCACAGGTCCCTGACCTCAAACAGCATATAGTGAGGGTGAGGTGATTTTCAACAAATTTACACAAGTGTGTATGTGTGTGTGTGTGTGTGTGTGTGTATATCTCACACACACACACACACACACACACACACACACACAGTTACCAACCGTGACTAGCTATGAAGAAAAAAAGCAACACACATAGTAAAAGAGAGTAACAGGGCAGACTGGAGCTGTCTGAGATTTTTAGATGAGATATAAAGGACAAATTCAAGTTAGTTAAGGAAAGAGAGACATTCCAGACAGGGGGCAGCAGGCACATCTCCCAGCTCATGGGCAGTAGAGAGCTCTGGTCATTTATCAGGCCAGTGACCCTGAAGCACAGCACACAGCAGAAAGATGCACCTGGAGAGGTGGGCGGGAGCCAGACCACCACACAGCCCTACGGGCATGTTAAGGACTTGAGATCCTATTCTAAGGGCAACGAGAAGCCACTGAGTTTTGTTTTGAGCTAAGAGATCTTAGGATCCAGTTCACACCTTAAGAAAATTACCTTGGTTTCTGGGTGGAGCATGAACTGGGAAGAAGTAAAAGTGAAGGCTAAGAGATCAGTTAGAAAGTAGTCAAGACAAAGTAAGCTACTGACTTGTACTGGGGTGGTGTCAACAGAAAGGATGAGAGGAGACACAGAGAAACTGATGGATTCATCATCTCTTTTTAGGATGGATTTGAAGTGAGGTGTGAGGGAAAGGACAGGATGTATCAGGATGGTTGTCAGGATTCTAGAATGAACATCTGAGTAGTTACAGGTGCCCTCTGTTGAAACGGAGAAGGCCAGAGGTGGAACCAATTTAAAAGGGAGAGAGGAAATCCAAGGTTCATTATTTAATGTTTAATTTGTGATGTCTATGAAATATTCAAGGGGAAATATAAAGAAGGCAGTTGAATATACACAGATAGAGAGCACAGAGATAAGGATTTTAAAGGAATTTTCCATACTTGACTGTACTCCTTAAAAGTTTTCAAAAGTATCTGCCTCTGGCATCTGATCTTACTAAAGCATCTTTTGCAATCAATGCCGTGGATAAAAGTGCAGCAATAACAGTATCTAATTTTAATTCACAGCCAGAAAGAGTTCAAGAATATTTTAGAAACCTTACTGCCTTTGGTGATTCTGACTTTTTCATCTCACAAAGAAAGTCAGGGGCAACTGGCCCTGGGCTACCTCATCCTACCTTTTATTGGGACACTATGGAATGTGAAATCCATAAGAGGTAATGGACTTTATTCCATAATGCTCTGAACAATGAAATTAACAGGTACGGATAACAGTTTGTCACTGCCAGTAAATAACAAAAATGTTTAATTCTATTTTTAAGCATATTAGAATATTTAACACAAAGAATCTTTAACATATTAGAATTAAATATAGGCTCACCTGAAAATGTGCTACACAGCAGTACAATTACGACTCCTTGGGAAAAGAAATAACTGGTCAATTTTTTAAGTTTTTTTTTTTTTTTAAGTTGTTGAGCACATCCTGAGTTGGGAGCAAATACTCTGGGCATTTAGTAGAAAATGTAGCATTTCTTTCCGAACCTGGCTTCACAAAGAACCTTCGTGAAAAAGGTAAGGAAGTGCCTGCACTTCACTTTCCTCGTGAAATTAACTTGCAGGCCTACCTGACGAGTAAGGCACCAGAGAGGAACTTTTAATTTGCTCAAGCTTCGTCTGAATAAAACCTGGCTGAGCTGGAGCGAAGTGAGGACAGACAACTGCTGGCAAGAAGTACAGGAATAGAAGGGAGAGAATTGATCTTGAGGACACTTATGGACGTTCCCACAACACCCCCGCCCCCGTGATTAACCAAAGCCGAGTTCATTTCTCAGGCTGTTGTCCCACAAGGTGCCCTCATCGCCCCATCCCGCCGTCCTCCTGCCCCTCCATTTGGCCCTACTCAGGAGTCGTGGACGCGGCGCTGGCAGGAACCCTGCCACAAGGCGGAGCGCAGAGGGGAGGCTCTCGCCAGCTTGCGGGGAAATGGCGCGGCCAGAGGAGCGCGCGCGGAGCGGAAGCATCAGCCCTGAGCCTCTGGCCGTCCCCCAGTGGAAAAAGAGGGACAAGAACACGAGTGGGGCTGGCCAGCGCCAACCCCGGAGCCCTCCCGGAGGACTCGGGCCCAGATCCCATGACTCCCCCAGCCCCACGTCGTAGCCCCGTGGTCCTTTTCCTCCCCCTCGTCCCGGGCCCCCCGGGCCTCCCCAGCACAAGGAGGATGCCTGGGCCGCGCCCTTCCCCAGCCACGCAGCCCCCTCCCAGAGGGGCGCACCGGGAACGGCTCGCTGTACCTGGGGCTCGGGGCCCGCGCCTGTTCGCTCTCCCACCACTTCTTCGGCCTCGCCCGTCCCGGGACCGAAAGTGAAAGTGGAGCCGGGGAGTTGCACGCGGACGCCAAAGGCGCTGGGCTGAGCCTGCAGCAGGCGCAGAGGAGCCCCAGGCCCACGCGGGAGCTGAGGAAGGGGAAACTCGGGAGTGGGGCCGTGGTGCCGAGCCGACATCGCTGTTACAAGATGGGAATTCACAAAACAGAGCGCAAGAGAAACAGCGGCGTTGCAAAGCAGGGGAGAGCAGGCGGGAGGAGCACCCTTTTGGGACGCAGAATATTTTCTCTGAGTGTGTCTCAGAAAGCTTTTTTGTCTCCCGTCCCCCTCATTAATTAGCCTTTGGTGCAGAGGAGGTGTGGGGCGTTAGGAGAGGGCCAGTGCTCTTAGAGGGCACTTCAGCTGTCCGAAGGGCCCTTCTCCCCAACACCTGAACCAGCTCGAAGCTCTTTGGACTGAAGGCATGTCCATCATCTGGCCTCCACAAATGGGCTGAGAGTGCTTGGTCCGCCTCAGAAAGAAACGGGAACCCAGAACAACTCTGCAAAATGCTGAACCCTCTGGGCTTTCAGTTGTAGAGGGGTTGTGCTACGAGATGTCAGATGTCGAAGAGGAGGAAGGGGATACAGATGGCCCGGACCTGTCTCACCACTACCAAGGGGCTCTTGGACCCCAAGAATTTGCTGCTCCCCACATTAAAACGTTCTCCCTGCGTTTTCAAATCAAAAGACTATTTCTGTGCTCTCCTTACAACATTAAGACTGGATGAAATGTCCAAAGAGCCCATCTTTAAACAGTTGAGGGAAATGAGGTAACAAGCCAAGGAAACACAAGTGTTCATGCTCACCACATGCTGCCCTGGCCCCTCTGGGACTTTCTCACTCTACTCAGGCTTTTTCCTCTCTCACTTCCTTCTCTGCTGCCTTCATTTTGAAAATATGGGGTTCCAAGTCACTAGAATGGTACTACTCAATTTTCCCCCTCAATCTTATGCCTCCTTTTGAAAAATACTACATTTTGTCCTGCATATTCTCTCCCATCAAGTATACTATAATATAAAATTAACACCCTGTACCCAGGCCCAATCAAAGTGGGATCAAGGAAAGTTTTTTCACTAAAATTCAACAAAAGGGGGCTTAGGACCAGGTAATTTCTGCATGTTCACAGGTGTGGCAGGGGTGTCAGTAGATAGCTGTAGCTTCCAAGGCATCTGGGTGTCAGTGAGTGATCCCAGTTTGCTCAGATGAGAGCTTCTTGTTCAGTAAACTCATGCATTTCTTTGTTTTCATATTTCTATTTGGGGATATGATGTTTTCCCTTCAGTATCTAGTAAGCTCAATTTCTTTTCAAATATTTCTTGAAGGTCAGGGGGGAAGGAACTGAAGGCATCAAACAGACTGGAGGTTGCTATCAATGACAAGTGAGGAGGCAGGAAGAGGGGAATGCCTTTACATAGGCCTGGGCAGAAGGGAGCCAAAATGTCAGGAGAAAGCTGACTCTAGACTTTTCTCTCCCAGCCCCTCCTTCGCTCAGACTTTAGACTCAGTTACAATGGCCAAGATTCCCTTTTCAGAATCCAAGTGCACTATAAAGCAAGCAACAAGACCGAGGATTTGGTCCCTCCTAGCGTTCCCTCCTAGTTTCAGAGCTCTAACAGGATTTGCAGGATGCAGACCTCAGAGTGAGGGCTTTAAACTTAAAGGAGTCCCATTTGTAGAGTCTGTAAGATCAAAACTTAGTAGCTACCAAGCTTAAAAATGGTATTAGAGGGAAGTGGACAGAAAGAAAGGGTGCCCCGGTTTATTACTTACCAACTGTTAGATACTGTGCTAAATGCTGGCCATATGCATTTGTGTATATGCGTACATAATTTCATCTTTTCAGCAATCATGTAATGTAGATATTATGCTATATAGATGAGAAAAGAAAAGAGGTTGGCAAGTTGCTCAAAGTCAAAGAGAAAATAAAAAGTGAAACCTAAATCTGAATGCTTGCTTGGTCTGTTTGACTCCAGAGAGCATGTTCTTCCCACTGACTCACACAGTGTCCTCAGCGAGCTGTTATTTCCTCCTTCCTCTCGCCCCCATTTCACTTGGCACTTCTGGCTTTGCTCTCTTCCAGGCAGCCCCTGTCAGTTTCTCAATATGAAAACCCTTCCTGGAGCCTCCCCATTTCCTCCCAGTGGAGATGAGGTTAGGCTTCTGTGACATGGCAACTCTAAGACATCAGCAGTTGAAGAATACAAAGCTTCATTTCTCACTCCTGGAACACAGCCACCGTCGAGAGGCAGGGTACTCTGCCCTGCACAGCCGCTCTGGGGGCAGAGTGACAGAGGCTTGTCATCTTATAGGTGCATCCACCTTAAGCTTTTGGCCTTCTGGACTCTCATGGCAAGAAAGAATAAGTCCAGAGAATTCTGCATCAGTGTGGAATAATACACATCACTTCCACTCACATTTCATTGGCCAGAACTAGCAACATGGAGTTCTGCAAATGCAAGGAGAGGCTGATTAACACCAATACTACTATCTGCCCCACGGTGTAAGAGGTCAGTTGAGCCCATGTATTTCAAAAGCTTCGCAGGTGGGAGCTGGGAGAAGGTGAGAGTCCACCTCAGGCTTTAGCCGTTGCAACTATACAACTTTGGGTTATTACTCATCAATTTTTTTTCTGATTGGGTTCCAGAGTTTGATCAAGGGGTGTTCAACTTTGCTCTAATTAACTGGATCAGTTCTGTCTTCGTTAGCTTTTGCCAGTAAATGTCAGCATTTGGCTCATTTCTTCTCTTTTGCTGCCAAAATTGCTGCCATTTGGACCCGATCGCTACTCTCCTTTTTGATGTAAAATCTTACCCAGAATCATGATGTAGAAAGCAGACAAAAAGAGGCTGTTCTGAATAAGTGGGACAAACCCACCATTCAATCCTTGCCAGCTGCCTCTCAGCCCCACTCCTGCATCTTCCCTCCCACTCCACACACACTGTGGTCCCTGAGGTACCTCTACTGGCTCTTATGGCCCCACAACTTAATTTTTTAAACACCACCTTAAAAAAGAATAGCCATGTCCCTCATTCCTGATATTCTTGATAAAAAGGATGACACTTTTTTTCCCTATGTGCCAAATTGCAAGGCAGGCCTACTCAACAAAATCTATATACCATTTTATTAATACTCAGAAACAAAGAAGAAGGGATAGAGGCCAAGTTAAAAGAAAGACTGTTCCAAAACAGGCCACTGAGCCCACAACAACTAATAAATTCCTCTGAAACACTGTGGTTTGAGAGCATGTACTTACACTCTATCTCTATTGGATCCTCACTGTGTACTTGTATAGGTGGCTAGTAGCTCCATTTTTCTAGAATGAGGAAACTGAGGATTTGAGATGGTAAGTGACCTACCAGGGACCACCCTATGGCGAGAACCTGCTCTAAAGTGAAGCCAATTCAAAGGAAAGTAGATGACAGGGAAAGAGAAAGACAGACAGAATAACCCCACTGAGGCCCCGGGACTCAGCTATCCTGAGCAAGCTCTACCCTTAGACTTCCCAGTCAAGGGAAGCAACGAATTTCTTCCTTGATTCAGCCAGTTTGAGTCAGGCCTCAGAAAGGTCCTAAGTCACCATTATGATAGCACTAGAGGAGGAGCGATGGACGCCAGCTTCTGTAGGAACAACTTGAGTTCTCACTAAGTGACCAAAACTGCTGTCAGACTACTAGGACCGCTGGGTCCTGAAGAACTTTCTATGCAACTGGAGGACTGATGACTTGTTTTCCATTTTCCTCCCTCCTCAGACAAACTTTTGACACCAAGGGTCACCTAAGCATACCTCCAGTTCCCATAGCCTGACGGAACCCATGGACCTCACCCTCTTCCGTCCCTCCTCAGTAAGCAAGAGATCATCTCACTGTGAGCCTGCCTGCATTCTGTATTCCTGTGGCTCTTCCCTTGCTCATTTCAGCCAGAAGGTAAATCACCATAACACATGTTTTTAAAATTTACATCTTTCATTACTATGAGATTGAGCACTACCCTGAACATATGTTGATTAGATGTTTTTTGCTTTTTATTTACTCTTTTGAGAATTATAGGTTTATGTTCATTGCACCTTTATCTACTAGAAAATTATTACTTAGTTATATAAAAATTATCTGTGACACACAAGAGAAATTCATAAATGCCACTAAAAATGGAAAACGTCACAGTCAGCAAGGCTCTATTGTTTCAAAGCAATCCCACAAGTATGTCTAAATGAATCATGTCAATTTCTTCAAAATCTAGACCTATACCTGCTACATTAAGTTACTGGAGATGATGGAGTTTATGAGATATTGTCAATCTGAACATTAAAGCAAATCTTGGTTCGGGAAACCTGGGGTCCAGGTTTGATCTTGTTTATGGCTCCCTCTGCAAAGCAACTGCACAAAGAATGAGTTATCCAACCAAGAGTGAGCATGTTCTTTGCATCTACTAAAAGGAATTAAAACATACTGGTATGAAAACATAGGTAAGTTTGTTGACTATGTTTTCTAAGGAACCATAGCATTATACTACCAAAGAGTTCTCATACTCTCTCACATACTGAGGGGGGACAGAAGAATCCATCTGCATATTAATGTTACTATACATTGAAGGAACTTTTGTCCTATAATCATAGGATGTGGACAGTCTACGTCCTTGAGGCAAGAAGGATTTGTAGATCAGGAAAGTGACTGATGAAGGACTAACTGGGAAGAAACTAGGGAAAGAAACTAGGGAAAGAGCTCGACTCTAGTGACTAGAAAGATCTGATTCTTCACTGAGCTGAAAATGTAAATATCTACCAAATAAGAAATGAGAAATTGATTGCTGGCTGAAATTTTTCACTGATGTAAAATGAGTCAGGTTCTGACTACCAGAACTGATTCCAAATTCAAGAGAAAGATGACATATGAGATTCTGACCAATAAAGAGATGAGGGTTCAATAACTGGATTTGAACACTTGATGAGGAAGATGACTAAAGGAAGAAAGAGCTTTTATAGGCTAGGGAATCTATGGTAGGACCAGTAAAAGCCCAAAGTCAAAGAGAGTTTTAAGAGAGAGACAAAGGAAGACGGGTCCTTAGGGCTGGGAGTCAGGGAAAGACCTGAGAAAGCCAGGGCAGCAGCAGAGAAGAGCTGCAAATCTGACTCATCTGGGCCTAACACAAGAGATTATAGAGAGACCCAAAGTACTCAGCAGCTCCAGCAGCAGGGCCATCCAGATCTACCTCAGGGCAGAAGTTTTGAATCTTTGCCTATGTCCACTGCCCAGCTCCCAACCTAGCAAGACTACAAGGAGAGGAAGAGTCCAGGACTGAGTAGATGGATCAGCCAAAGATGTCCAAATGAAATTCCAGTTAAATTAGTGAAAATTCTGGGCTCT